GCGCCCGGCCGAAGCAGGTTTTAAATAGACACTGTGTGATCCCATCTGAAATGCGTTTACACCTACACACCATAAATATATAAAGAGTAGGGCCGGGCGCAGTGGCTCACGCCTGTAATCCCTGCACTTTGGGAGGTCAAGGTGGCCGGATCACCTGAGATCAGGAGGTCGAGACCACCCTGGCCAACATGATGAAACCCCAGCGCTACTAAAAATACAAAAAATTAGCCAGGTGTGGGGGCGGGTGCCTGTTATCCCAGTTACTCAGGAGGCTGAGGCAGAAGAATCGCTTGAACCCGGGAGGCGGAGGTTGCAGTGAGCTGAGATTGTGCCACTGCACTCCAGCTTGGGCGACAAGAGCAAAACTCCGTCTCAAAAAAAAAAAAAAAAGAGTAGAAAGATGTAGCCCAACATGTTAACAAGGATTACCTGTGATTGGTGGGGCTGCAGGTAATTGTTCCTATTGTTATTTTCTTTTTGATGCTTTTATGTTTTTCAAGATTTTCTGCAATGAGCATGTGTTACTTAGTTTTAGAAAAAGCATATATTATTTTTATAATTAGAAAAAAAGGCTAAAGTCATTGAAAAATCTATGCCTCTCAAGATCTAGCTGGCCTAGTCCTAACTCTCAGGGACAGATGCTGAACCACTGTGGAAGGCCTTCAATTAGGGCTTCTGCAGAGGTGGGGCTTTGAGGAGACAAAGGGTCTGGGGCAGAGATCTGAGTTGAGGTGTCCAGGAATTTACAATCCTCACCTTGGCCTGTGCCACTTCTTTGCTGTTGAGCACAAAGAGGACATCCTGAGTATGAAGCCGAGACAAGGGCAAATCCAGAAGGGAGATGTACTTGCGCAGCACATTCACAGACTGAAGTGTGAGCACAGAACACCCTGGTTGGAAAGGAGACAGAGAGAAGTAATGAGCCTTGAGGTCTCCAGCCAGATTTTCTCCTGAGTGTCCTCCCTCTACCCTGTGGCTCAGGGCAGGGCAGGACAGTGGCCACAGCATTGCCAGGTGTTTCTGTGGCACCAAAGCTGCTCTGTGCCCATCATTCTTGCAGCTAGAATGAGTAAAAGGGCCACAGAAGACCTGGCTGGCTACCCTCTACCCTGCCGTGTGCCCTACCAAAAAAAGGTTGGTTGCTAGAGGTTGAGATCTGGCTACCTCAAAGCCAAAGGAAAGGTGAAGGAGACAGGAATTACTGTATTGGGAGGTTAGAGACCTGGTTCTAGCTCTGTCAGTCAAAAACTGACAGGGTTGGCAAAGTCCTTTAACCTCTCTGAGACTCAGGTATTTTTGTTTGTTTTTGGTTTTTTTTAGATGGAGTCTCGCTCTGTTGCCTAGACTGGAGTGCAGTGGCATGATCTTGGTTCACTGCAAGCTCCACCTCCCGGGTTCATGCCATTCTCCTGCCTCAGCCTTCCAAGTAGCTGGGACTGCAGGCGCCTGCCACCATGCCTGGCTAATTTTTTGTATTTTTTAGTAGAGACGGGGTTTCACCGTGTTAGTCAGGATGGTCTTGATCTCCTGACCTCGTGATCCACCCGCCTTGGCCTCCCAAAGTGCCGGTATTACAGGTGTAAGCCACCGTACCCAGTCTGAGTCTCAGTTTTCTAATCTGTAAAATTGTGTTGATAGTGTGAGACCTGCCCGTCTCACAGGATTAATATAAGAATCAAATGGCTGGGTGCAGTGGCTCATGCCTGTAATCCTAGCACTTTGGGAGGCTGAGGCGGGTGGATCACCTGGGGTCAGGAGTTCAAGACCAGCCTGACCAACATGGAGAAACTCCATCTAAAAATACAAAAAAAAAAAAAAATTAGCCAGGGGTGGTGGCGCATGTCTGTAATCCCAGCTACCGGGGAGGGTGAGGCAGGAGAATGGCTTGAACCCAGGAGGTGGAGGTTGTAGTGAGCCAAGATCCTCCATTGCACTCTAGCCTGGGCAACAAGAGCGAAACTCCATCTCAAAAAAAAAAAAAAAAAAAAAAAAAAAAGGAGAATCAAACGAACTATAGTCATGTACCAAAGACATCATGGCTTGGTAAGCTCTTTTCAGTCATCCCACACAGAAAGGGCACAACCTACTTATGTTTTCATTCATTGAATCTTCATATCGCTCCTATGAGGTATGACAGACCACCCCAGAAACTGGCCCAGAGAGGCTAAGCATGGGGGTCATGCAGTAAATGGTCAGGTGGGGTCAAATACTTTCTGTGGGTTAGGGAGAGTTCCTGACTGAGGCAGATTGATCCATCAAGCATCCAGCAGTCATTTACAACCTGCCTAATTGGTGGGGGGATGGGATTGAGTTCAGACTGGAAGAATACCAGAGGTGTAAAACATCCACCCTGTGAAAAAGCTAGACAGGTGAGGGGCAAACCTGGCCTCCCCACTCATCCAGAGGTGGCCCTGCAGGCAGGCACTTGCTGGCAGATACAATTTGCCAGGTACCCTGAGGTGAATGAGGAAGAGCTTGGTGGCCTCCCCAACCACTGCCTCTGCTCGGCTGAGGGCAGCTCTCTGTGGATTTGCAAATTTCCCTCTCATAAGTTTCTCAGAAGGACAGTATATTGTGGCCCTTTGCAAAAGGAACAAGTCTTACCTTTAGGTAACTTCCCTTCTGAGTGCAGGGCCCTGGAGGAGGGAAAGGACAAGAGTGAGACGCATAAGAATCATTTCCTTTGTAGGTAATAGGAGGGGCCTTCAGAGGAAAGCCTGCCATGCCCATGGTCCCCCTCCATGTGAGTTTCCAGGTGGTTTCTTTTGCATAAATCACTGCATAGATTTCCAGGATCCCATACCTCTGGCAACAGCTGAAGGGATCCGGATGGGCACCTGAGCCAGGGACAGCCAATCCAGAGGCTGGTCTGTGGCTTGTGAAGTACCCTGGTTAAAGCTTTGCCCATTAGAGAATGAAGATAACTGTGCTGGACTCTTCATAGTTTTCATCTTGAAATTGTAATGTGAGTATGATGAGGGAATATTTTACAATGCTGATAGCTCTTCCCTGATATTTCCTTTCTCCTTTCTGAGTTCCCCCACACCTACCTTCTGACAGTGAGGGTCATTCTGTGCTCACCACCTTAAGAGGAGGGGTGTCAACTGCAATGAGCTCCAAGTCTCTTCCCCACTTTGTTGTTTAGAAATCTGGGGGCAGAGAAGGATTGGGAAGGTAGCCCCGGCAACATAGACACACATACTTATGTGAACAGAGACTCTTGGGAACAGGGGTTAAAGAAGAGAAGTTGAGTGAGAATTGACAAACTCATGGAACTGACTGCCTGGCAGAGCCTGAGAGGTAGAAAAACCTGAAAAAGGAGCCAGGCGTGGTGGCTCACACCTGTAAACCTAGCACTTTGGGAGGCCAAGGTCGGTGGATCACGAGGTCAGGAGTTCAACTCAGCCTGGCCAATATGGTGAAACTCCATCTCTAATAAAAATACAATAGCCAGGTGTGGTGGCATGCACTGGTAGTCCCAGCTACTCAGGAGGCTGAAGCAGGAGAATCGCTTGAACCCAGGAGGCGGAGGCTGCAGTGAGCCGAGATCACGCCACTGCCCTCCAGCCTGGGCGACAGAGCGAGACTCTGTCTTAAAAAAGAAAGAAAGAAAAGAAAAGAAAGAAAAGAAAAACCTGAAAAAGATTTCTGGGATCCTGAGAATGAAGTGGCTTGTTCTGTTCTCTGGGCAAAGCCTTGTGGATATTCTGATAACCAGGGAAAGCAGTGAGCTGGAGGCACCTGTCTGGAAATAGAGCTTATAGTCCTTAAAGCCACAGGGGAAGCTGTGCTGAGGAGGCCTGGGGAGCGAGTCTTGGGGACAGGGGGATCAAGGGGCCACTGGTGGGAGGGAAGACAAGAAGAGACTGAGAAGTAGCCAGAAAGGCCAGAGTGAGGAGGGCAAGCTGGTGCCATATAAGCCAAAGCAGCATTGCAGTGAGGGACATGCAGGGCCAAATGCCACAGAAAGTTGAAGATGGCTGAGGGCTAAGGTGAGTCTAATGAATTTAGCAGGCAAGAGATGACTGTGGGGAAAAAGGTTTTAGAAGATTGGTGGCATGTCCACGAATTGTTTTATCTGAAGCACAGTGGCCCACCTTCGTGCTGAGAGCCTGTGGCACTCCAGCCTCTTCTGAGGAAAATGGTCCCAGGCAGTTCTATCTACACAGAGTTGTCTCCTTGGGTTCTTTCCATCCAGAATGATGCCTTCTCTGCTTTTCCCCACTTCAGTGGTGACTGGACCAGGAATGGGACCAGGTGACTCAATCTCAAGTGCCCCAGCCCCCTGCCTGTGGAGGTACTCTTAGTATGTTTGCAACAGACCTGACCTGATCCTTTCTCTGGTGCAGCGTAAATTCTTGGTGAGAAATCACCAGGCTCAGTGTGCATCCAGAATGAGGTGAGACCATTTTTCCAGTTTTCCATGGGGCTTGCTGTCCATGCTAGTCTTGGAAGCTCAAGGCCTCAGAGTAACCATGTGGTTGGAAAGACCACTCCGGGGCTGCCTCATTTTTCCATATATCATCAAAAAAATTTGTATTTCAGACTAACCAGGGAATGTTTCTTTCCTGAATCTGAAGGGACCTAATGCGACTAGCAGCATGTCTCCTCTAAAGCTGTGGCCGCTGGCTGGACCAGGAACTGAATAGCCTTCACGGGAGAACAGTCTAGCCTCCCCTCATTCCACAGCCAAGGAAACAGGGAAAGCTGCCTAGAAAGAGTATGTGGGTAAAACTATAGCATCTTCCACCAAGTGATGTAAACTTTAAGGACAAGGAGGGTCTTCAGTTTGGATTGGTCTTCACATACATCTGAGAGAATAATGAATGGAGAACTAGGATTCCTGAATTCTGCCTCTGCCATAGTTTAATCTTGTAGTGCTCGGCAAACCACTTCCCAGCCTCAGTAAAATGAGGTGGCTGGACTTAATGGTTGGTGAGGTCATTTCCAACTTTACATATTGCATTGCTTCAGTCTGAGTGTTAAGCATGTTTAGAAGAAGGTTATCAAATAAGTCCTTCCCTTCAAGTTGCTCCTTTCCTTCCTCAGTAGCTGGGACAGGCCTGCCACACCGCTGATCAGGGGCCCAGGAGAAGCACTTTGCTAGGGGACAGGAAACACATCTATGTTTCTATGACTGTACGTCACTCCATATCTTTGAGCTTGCATTTTATTTTTATTGGTAAAATGTAAATAAATATCAGTAAAATCGGGTGACTGTGAAGAATAAACGCATTTCATATTATGTATGTATATCCTCCTTCTCCAAAGATTTGAGAGTTGTATAAAATACATGAAGGAAGTGAGAGTAAGGGGAAGAAGATGGTGAATCTGGAGGCACACTGATTCACAGCACTCATTCCTTAAAGTCTTGTCCATGTGCCACAGGGGCTGCAAATTTGGCCCTCAAGCTTTCTGTGGCCACAGAAAAGAGATGAATAAAGTCAATTACCCCATTTGCAGTATTCAGTGTATACAAAAAATTCAGCTGTTTAGGAGATGAGCATTCGTACTAGGACTCGAGAGAGATTTCTCAGAGAGAGGACATGGTGAGATGCAGTGAGCAGGGCTAGATGATAAACCAGCAGTGAGTTTCATGGGCTCACATAACAAGTGGGAAAGTGCTTTAGACTTTAAACCATGAGCCCTAATCAAACAAACAAACCCTCCCCCACCTCCATCGCCCAGAGAATCGTACCTCACAGCTGCATACAGAGCAATGTGATTGCTGTGGCCACTTACTCCCCCCGCATCGAAAGTCACCACCTGTAGAGAAACACAGGGTTTTCACTTATGACTGTCTGAATGCCTTCTCCACCACCTCAACTTCAATGGAGCTATCCCCATCCCTTGGGAAGGAGGGGAGAGAACAGAACCCTGAAACTTTCCAAATGCAGCATCTATCTGAAGTGACTTCGGAGCAGATCAGTGGTGTGTAGCTCGTGCTGTGGTTGATCACGTAGAGACTGTTTCCCAGGGTTTGACGCTTTACTCTTGTTCCTAACCAGTGGAGCAGAGTGGAATTCAGCCATGATATCAACTTGGGTTCAGAATATCTTTGTTGCTTATCGGTTTAGCCATTTATTAGCACATTTAGCATTCCTGGCTAGCTTCTAAGTGAACTCTGTTCATGCAGATACAGCCTGAATTATTGGTTCTCTGTTTCTCGTGCCATACTGAGGGCAAAAAAAAAAAATTTTGAGGGACAATGTCCACCGTGTCCTGGGATTGAGTCCATGGAAAAAGTGTATTTATTCATAGACTGCCTCTGTTTCCATTTTCACAGCTATATCAACATCTGTTTATTAACTACAAGCTCAGTCTGTATTCCAACATTTCATTTCTACACAAATGAATTAAAGAAAAAACAAAGAATAATTTGAATAATTATAATAAAAAGGCTAACTTAAATAATAAACGAAACATAAAAACGACAACAAGGACTGAAGAAAAGGATAGAATGGTTGATTAGGGGTGATAGAAAGAGGCCAGCTGTCCCCAAGGAAAGGTGACCATCCTGCATGGATGCAGGAGCCTGGAACTGGGATTGGAATGGTCTGGGAAGGGATTCACTCTTGGTCTTTCTATTTTAAACTGTAAAGCATAGTGACTGCATGTACAGCAAGCCCTCTGTTAATAAGAGTGGCTAACATTTACTGAGCAAAGGCATAGTATTAACCCTATCTTACACCTGAGGAAGTTCAGAAAGCAGAGGCCGAAGCTGGGATCACCTTGCCACTGAGTGGAGGAGTTGTTCTTGGGGTTTGGATCTTTCTGACTCCACAGTCCACGCTCTTTACCAGCATCCTCTATGTGAGAAGGCGTGCTGGGTTGCAGGAAGAAGCACTGTGTAAGAATCAAAAGACCTTTGGGAGACTGAGGC